GAAGAAGGGAGGGATAGCTCAGTGGTTTGAGCATTGGCCTGCTAAACCCAGGATTGTGAGTTCAGTCCTTGAGGGGGCCATTTAGGGATCTGGGGCAAAAATTGGGGATTGGTTCTGCTTTGAGCAGGGGTTTGGACTATAAGATCTCCTAAGGTCCCTTCCAACCCTGATATTCTGTTCTATGAAAGCACAGTGTCTGACCCTGGAAGAAGCATGAGGACAGGTTTTTGGGTCAGGAACACAGGCAGAGAAGATTATTCTTAGTTCTGTTCACAAAATAAGCTGTTTCTTACTGTTTGATTCCTACTGTGTTCAGAGACACAGGACTCTGTATATTCTGTGTAAATAAACAAAACTGCATCAGAGAAATACCAATCTGTCACCAATTTCTACTCCTACCTGGAACATCCCCAGGGCCTCAAACTTTGGCTAGCCACTTGGGTCAAAAAGGAGCAACAATATGGTTCACAAAGAGAACTCATCAGGAAGTGTGGTCACTTTCAGGTGGAGCTGTAAAGCAGTGACTTTGGAGAACAGGTTTTGTTATGGTAGGAGAGGAATGGAAGAATTTCTCTCTTCATCTTTCATGGCCTAGCCTTCCAGCCAGGTCATCTCTTTGCAGTTCTATCTCCTTCCAGCTAAAGAATCCACACCAACACCCAAACAGAGCTCCTTCTGTCCCTCTCAAGCTGTTGAAGTTCTCTGCTTTTTTACCCTTGCTGGGCACTGCAGAGTTATTTCTTTGCTCCTTTGACTCAGGACTACCTCCTAGGCTTTTTTCCCCACTCCCTCCCCTTCCTGGGGACTCTGGCAACTTCTACCAGCGACCTCCCTGCTTCTTAGACACTCTATTTCCAAGGCCCCCACAGGAGTTTAACTTGCTCCGTGGTTCTCTCTACCCTGCCTTCACCAGGCTCTTCCCAGAAAGCTGGCACTTCCACTGGTCCTCTGTCCTAGATTTCCCCTTTCTGACAAAGTTTTGCCTCTACGAAGTCCTCCCTGACTCTTTCCCAGCTGGGGTCACTACTGGTAATTAAGCCACCAGATCAGGATCTGCTTGGGGGGTGGGAGAGGTAAACTGCTAAGTAACAGGTAAGGCTAAGGCTGACTTTCCTTAAAGGGCCTGCTAGCCTTTGGCAGGCCATTATACAGATGATAGGGCCAGTCTAGTTCTCTTGGCCCCTTTGACTTGAGTTCCCCCCCACACCTCTACATACCTAGGAAACAGCCTCTCTGCTCCCATCTGGCTGCGCTCGAGTCCCACAAGCTGTGGTGATTCCCTTCCTCCTTCACCTGTTTATGTCTTGGTGACCCTTCTACTACTCCTATGTGAACAGGAAGTCAGTAGATGGAGCCACAACACAACTTTCCAGGCCAGGAGAAAGACAGGAAATTGCAAGCACCTCTGCGGTGACCTGCAGGCACAGTGATCTGGGGATGGCACCCGGATGACTGGCTGTGTGTGTACAGCACGGATCCCAGAGAGTGAGACCCTATGCAAGCGCACAGGTCTCAGGGTACCTCTGATTCACCAAACTGTGTTCCATCCAAGTGTCTGTTTTGCTGGCAGCCAGTCCCGCATTCCTCTCTTTCCCAAGTAGTTCAAAGATGCCTCTCCTGAAGGGTATGTGAAGAATAGGTGGCATCCACTTCCTGCTCTTCACTGCCTCAGACATGCCACCCTCAGATAATGATCATCTTTCGTGGGAGGGACCTTCTCAGACAGGGATTTCCTAGCACCCAAGTATGTGTTTCTGAAAACTACAGAGCCAGAACAGCTTGCTGCGGGCCCACAGCTCCTCCAGCGCTGGCTTCCAGTTTGTTCGGCGGAGGGAGCGTGATTTCCTTCTTCTACTCTGAGAATGTTAATGCCACCATTGATTGTGCTCCCCACTCACAGATGCGGGGCCTGATCCTGCAGGGCCTTACAGACACAAGCAGCCCTGCTGATATCAATGTGCCCACACCCATGTACTTGTGCAAGCGAGGCTTTGCAGCATCCGGCCCTTCATGCAAGTGCTCCCTTCACCACTGCGCCTGACAAACTGAGGAGCAGGGGCAGTACATTCACCAAATTAGCCCAAGATAGCTTCAGAAGTAGACCTCAAGTCTATAGCATCCTTAGGCCTTCAGGTCCTCATGCCCTGATTCCTGAGGACCCTGGGCCCATATGCAGAACAGCAGTACAACTCTCTGCTCTAATACCCTTTCTGGGGTTGTGAGACATGCAAGATTTTTTTAGAAGGTAAGTCATCAAACACAAATTAAGCACAGGCACATAAGTACAACTACTTTGTTTCATCAAACCTATGTATTTCTTAACATTATGCTTTTTTTTTTTTTTAATGATTACTGTAATAGGCAAAGTTTTTAAGATAATTGTAGTGTAATTTTTGATAAGGGCTTCAGCGCCCTAGCTGGCAGGAGGGCTGAGCAGGGCCGGAGGCTCGGACCCCGGCTGGCAGGGGTCCAGGTGGCTGGAACCCCAGACCAGCAGCGAAGTGAGCAGGGCCGGCGGCTGGTATCCCAGGCCGGCAGCAGGCAGAGCAGGGCCGACGGCTGGGACCCCTGGTGGCAAGGGGCCGGCGACTGGAACCCCAGACTGTCAGCAGGCTGAGCTAGGTGGCTGACAGAACCCCAGTGGCTCACCCGCCGGTTCCTGCCAGCCGGGGTCCCGGCCGCCGGCCCCGCTCAGGACCCAGGCTGGCAGCGGGCTGAGCGGGGCCAGCGGCTGGGACCCCAGCTGGCAGCAGCGTGCCAGTAAAAATTAGCATGCGTGCCGCAGGTTGCCAACCCCTGTGTTAATGTAACCTATGTGCCTAATAGGGAGATGTCTCTTTAAGAGACCCACTGTGGGATGTAGGAGTGAGCTGTGTCTGGGTCACTGTTGCTAGGCAGATTAAGCACTCCACAGCCAGAAGCTTCTGGAATTGGGTATGGATGGTAGCATTGAGTCTGCTCCTATAGGTTCCCTGTTGCTGGGGTCAGACTCCATGAGGGCAGGCAGTCAGGGCACCTGCTGTACAAAGGGCCAACATGTGCCCTGTGTGAGTTGGGAGAAGCTGAGCCCAGGAGCAGGAAGCAGGCTGTTGTCCCTAACTCAAGCATTTTGCAGGTTAGTGATACTGTTACCTTCTAACAGGGAAGCCTGGGCAATGCTAATTATAGCCAGGGGAAATTGGGAGGAAAAAAATAACAACTTCCATTTTAATTGTACTGTACGCTTCGAATGTTTTGATTTTAGCCAAACTGGTCCAGTTACATTGTCTCAGCTAGTGTGATTCACCAACTTTTCTTTAAATGTAGTAATGGGGAAAGAGTCACTTCTATTTTACTATTCTCAGTGTTGTATTTTCTTGTAACAGGGTTTTCTTTAAATCTAAATATGTAACTGAGCAGTTGGTTAATCCGTCAGCTGACTGGCTAGCAGTGATTTCAGCAGAGGAAGAGTCTGTCCGGATTCCAACTGAAGATTCCTACAAGCTAGGGGAGGGATGATGTTGTTTTAGACTCAGCAGACTGTATAGATTTGGTGATTAAAGGCTCTGAGATTTAGGTGAACTAAACCTAAGATTTGGGGAACTTTCAGTTTCTTCTCACTGTGTTTCTGTGGGGACTGAAGATTTTAATTTTTCTTTATTTATGTTTATGTATAAATGAAGGCAATATATGTAGATTGTAAAATAGGCATGTTATGCTGTAAAATTAGATTATTTGTTTATCATAAGATTTTATAAAGTTATTTAAATTCATTTCTTAGTTCCTTTAGGGCCTTGAATGTGGGGAGGTTGACGCTGTGCAATCCTTGCTGAAAATCCTTAGAGATTCTGGGTCTCCAGCTACTTTCCTATGGGAGTTGGGTATTTTTAGGCACTGGAGAAGGGCAATGAAGTGGACTATAGCCCACCCAAAGGTTACACTAACTGTGTAAACCAGGTGCATTAAGACTGTTAGGAGTGGGCTAGTGGCAGCCCAGAAGAGTGGGGCAGAGTAGATGGACATGGCAAAGACTAATTTTTAGGAAGTTAGAGGGGGTTGATTGGTTCAGCTTTGAATTCAAATGTTTAATTAACTCTTAATTCTGAATCTGAGTTAACTGCTCAATCAGAAGATACATCCAGTTGCTCCTGAATATACTGAGTCTTTGTCTATCCTCGCACTTTTGTCGGTAAAATTTTTGCCAGTCTGGGTGTGAAAAAATACCCCCTGACCAACATACGTTTCACCAACAGAAGTGCTGGTGTGCACAGCACTATATTGGCGGGAGTTGCTCTCCTGCTGACATAGCTGCCACCACCCATTGGGGTGGTTTAATTATGCCAATGGGAGAGCTCTCTCCTGCCAGTGTAGAGCGGCTCCATGGGAGACCTTACACTGGCCAGCTGCAGCGGTACAGCTGTGCATCTATAAGGTCTGTAATGTAGACACAGCTTGAGAGGCTTGATCTGCCTCTTTAACGTGGTCCAGAAAGAGGGAGCAACTTGGGAGTAGGGGATCGGAATTGCTTTATTTAATAGAAGGAGAGGGGGGTTAATAATGCATTCTTCCACTGAGTCTGAGTTGTCTACTTAGATTGCAAGCTTTTTGAGACAGACACAGGTGTATGTACATCACCCAATACAGTAGGGTCCCAATCTCAGTTATGATAATATCAGTATCATCATAATAATGGTACTAACAAGATCAGAGTCCCCAGCAATCTCATGGGACTCTCTGACCATTGTGCATGATGTAGTAGCCTCAATGAACTCAGCGACTCAGGATGGAACCCTGGACTCCTTCATAAGTCCTTCTATTATTTCTTATACTGTCCCAGTACGGGACCCACTGAGCATGATGCCCAAGGACCTTTTCCCACTGCTGCTTCCGTGGCATGGCATTCATTTCCCCATGAGCACGTCACAAATTTTTGCTTTCACCAGAATGTTCGGTCTGGAAGGTCTTCCTTTGATACTGGTGGATTTGTGCATATTTTTAAATGTTTCCTTCTTTCCCTGTAGGTTGGCTGCATTGGTTGGGCCTCACTCGTGTTGCACCACTGATGGCTTGCTACTCAGAGCAGAAGCAGAGGAGTGAATGAATTGGGGCATGAGCACAGGGAGGCCACACCTTGTATCCAGCAGCCATGCTCCTCCAAGGACTGCGGCTCTATGGGAAGTGGTGCCGTTTTTCTCGCCCCATTACTCAGCTCCTTACCTTAACTGTGGTGACGTTTGGCGTGTTGGCTCCCTTGATTTGCCACCGGCTCCTCCACTCCTATTTTTACTTACGCCGCTGGCATCTGAACCCCATGAGCCAGGAGTTCCTGGAGCAGAACCAGGAGGATGGCCAGGCCGCCCTCCGTTACTTCGAGGACCTGCGGACTCCTAACTCCTCGGAGATCTCAAGCGACAAGGCCCTCAGACCGTGGCTGCTCATCACTATCATCACCGTGCAGAGGCGGAACGAGTTCCACTACGTCCTGCAGGTGGCTTCCCGCTTCCACCGCCTCCTCCAGCAGTGTGGCCCTCGCTGCCGGAGCCACCAGATCTTTCTCTGTAACGTGGAGCAGGAGCCAGGCAGCCACCAGGACGCCAGGCTGTTGGGTACCTTCTTTGCAATGGTCAGCCGCTACAAAAACTGGGAGGACCCCAATGCCTCAGTGAACCAGTTTGAGAAGGAGAAGCGGGACTATGCCTTCTGCCTGGAGCAATCGCTGTTGGCCTACAGTCCAGAGTACGTCCTTCTGGTGGAAGACGATGCTGTTCCCGAAGAGGAGATATTCCCTGTCCTGCAGCACCTGCTGTTGGCACGGCTCTCAAAGCCACACCTCAAAGATGCCCTCTACCTGAAGCTGTACCATCCCGAGCGGCTTCAGCGCTATATCAACCCGGAGCCCATGAGGATCCTGGAGTGGCTCGGCCTGGGCATGTTTCTGGGCCCTCTGCTGAGCTTTGTGTACTCCTGGGTGTCTGGCCGCCCAAGCCTTACCTGGCCCATTGTCCTGTTTTTTGCCTTGTACAGCATGGCACTAGCAGAACTGGTGGGGCGCCACTATCTGCTGGAGCTGCGCCGGCTGGCTCCTGCACTCTACAACGTGGTGCCAGCCACTGAGTGCTGCACGCCTGCCATGCTGTTCTCCGCCCCTTCCGCCCGCCGTGTCTTAGGTTACCTTCAGGAGCTGCACTGCCGTCGGGGCTTCGCCAAGGACATTGCACTCTACTCGCTGTTGCGCACCAAGGGTGAGAAGGCCTATGTGGTGGAGCCCAATCTGATCATGCACGTGGGGATGTTTTCCAGCCTCAGGCCAAATGACAGCCCTAAGCTACTGTGACCCACCGAGAAATGCCTTTATGGAAAGGCTGGGAGGAGCCAAGGGAGCCTTGTCTGTGGACAGACATATCAGGTGTGACTTCAGATAGCATGCCAGTTGCAACTGTGCTCAGAACTACCGGCGCCACCTAGTGGAGGGAAAGGAACTTTAAAAAAAAAAAGTTTACTTAAACCTGTAGATGCATTATTTATTTTATAATGAAGTGAAAAGAGGGTGGAGGTTTTCAGGGAAGGGAAGGGTTTGCTACTATCCTTAGTCATTTTTGGGGGGGAGACCCCCCAATACACACACATACATACACACACACTGGCCATTTGCACATGAATGTGCCTCCTACAGCAGTGTCCAAGAAACCAGTCTCTGGTATCACAGACCCAAGACAGTTTGGCTGTATCAGCTGTTGTTTGAGATCTCCTTTGTCTTTTTAGCTGCCCCATCCAACCCCCCCCACCACACACAAACACACACACACTCGTCCTTCCTCACCTACAATGGCCTTGTCTCAATTCCTTCCACACTAGTCAATGCCACTCCTGTGGTCACATATATCCCAGTCTCAAGGCACTGGAAATGCTAGCCAGCGTAAGTGCATCAGGCTCAAGCTGACCTAGGAGGAAGTATGGCGCTGGAGAATAGCCCCAGTTTCCCCCAACCTTCTCCACGTCTTACCCCAACGATCTGTTCATCTCTTCAAATAAAAACATGAAGAGACCTTTACAAGAGGCATGATGCATATAATGAGCCCCTTACCCCAGTTTCTGCACATGGTTCTGGGAACATGTTTCATGCTGCTTCAGCACCTCCGGGTCTTCTCCTTTGTGGATAACACACCTCTTCCCCCACAGCTCTCCTTTCACCTTGGAGCAGAGGAGCATTGCCAGCAGATTGAGGGAAGTGATTATTCCCCTCTATTCGGCACTGGTGAGGCCACATCTGGAGTATTAGGTCCAGTTTTGGGGTCCCCACTACAGAAAGGATGTGGACAAATTGGAGAGAGTCCAGCGGAGGGCAACGAAAATGATCAGGGGGCTGGGGCACATGACTTACAAGGAGAGGCTGAGGGAACTGGGCTTGTTTAGTCTGCAGAAGAGAAGAGTGAGGAGGCATTTGATAGCAGCCTTCAACTACCGGAAGGGGAGCTCCAAAGAGGATGGAGCTCGGCTGTTCTCAGTGCTGGCAGATGACAGAACAAGGAGCAATGGTCTCAAGTTGCAGTGGGGGAGGTCTAGGTTGGATATTAGGAAAAACTATGTCACTAGGAGGGTGGTGAAGCACTGGAATGGGTTGCCTAGGGAGGTGGTGGAATCTACATCCTTAGAGGTTTTTAAGGCCTGGCTTGACAAAGCCCTGGCTGGGATGATTTAGTTGGCGTTGGCCCTGCTTTGAGCAGGGGGTTGACTAAATGACCTCCTGAGGTCTCTTCCAACCCTAATCTTCTATGATTCTATGATCTGAAACACAAAGTCCATGTTCTTCCCCTTTGCTTCAGCTTCCCCAAACAACCTCCAGCTCGCCGTATGTGGCTTGGATTCGCTGGCCCACGCACATACTCTCACACTCCCGCACAGCCTCACATCAGAACAACCTTTGAGATTGCACATACAGCTACCTCTCATAGGTGAGGAAGAGCAGATTCCCCATTTAGGCCCTGATCCTGCATCACCAGGAGCTCACTCATTAACTTTGAGTGCAAGCCCTTTAAACTGGCCCTAGATGGGTTGCCACCTATCCTGATTGTCCATGGATTCTACCTGCGACATCGAGAAGCTCCAGTTTGCCTTGGGCAGCCCAATGGATGATCCAGGATGATCATGCTTTGACATCATGTTATTTATAGGAAAGGCAAAGGAACAATTGCAGCAGCATGGTATGTCAGTGCACTTATCTTGCCTCAACTTGCAGTTAGATATAGATGACAGCTGCAGAAGTCACAGTTCACTGCTCCTACCATGAATAGCTGGGCACGGTCAGATGAGCATGCTTCAGTAATGTGCCCTATTGAAGGGGCCACTCCTAAATAGACACGTTAAATAACTAATCTTCTGGTCCAACTGGTGGGGAGTTTGGATGGTTTCCAAGAGTTGGCTGTTTTCTAGCAGAACTGCTCTGTGTGCATTGAAAACCAAAACCACATGAGAAATAAGATCCTGGGGATTTGTTACAAATTCAAAAGTGCCTTTGAAAGGGTTTGTACCCTATGGTCCTGATCTACAGCCCATTGCAGTCAATGAGAGTCTTTTTATTGACTTTAGGGTGCTTTGGACCCGGCACTATATGAGGAGACCTACTCCCAGTTTTGAGAGGCACTGAGGTGAAACTGTGTGCAAATCGCAAATTTTCCTGGCTTCAGAATGAACCGAGTGAAACAGTTTGGGGGCAGAAAGACTTCCTCTTGCAGTTTTCTTTCTTTCATTTGTCAGAGCCTGGAACTCAGGGTAAAACTAGGGTTAGTAAGGGCAGATGCGTGTCTGTGTGTGAACCCATGTGGACCAAAACCAAAGAGAATATTTGCACAAGCCCCGGAGGAAGTAAGTTTCACACAGTTCATTTTCAGGCCTTGAGGGGCAACTGACCTGTAAACTGCTCAGCACACAGGAGAGAGGCAGTCAGGCACAGGGTGTCACTAGAGCACAGAACAATGCCTGCTCAAGTTGCTGAACATCATCTCTTGCTAGATCAGCTGGGATTCTTTCAGAGGATCACTCTGGTTTTCACAAGGGCATGGACTCTAAGAGCTGACAAAACACTATATTTTATTTTCACCTGATGAAAATTCCAAAGGTTCCACACAACAGTCACCGGCATCCCTCAGGACAGATGCTGAAACCTGTTCCCAGACTGAGTGCAGCTGGTATGGCTTCCCCGTGTCTCCCTCGCAGAGAGCCACACACAAATACCTTCTTGGTAGTGTTGTTCTTTGTCAGGTTGTAGAATTTGGGGGTCATTGTGAATTTATTCCACTAAGTGCCTGGGCACGTAGAGGGAAAGGTGACTATCTAGTTATGCTGCCTCGACTGTTGAATGTTTCAGATGTGGGGTATGTTTTTTTTTCTTCTTTGTTTTTTAATCTTTGTACTGTATGGATCCAGAACAACACCCCATTTTTTGGTGGTTGGTTGGTCATGTTAGTGCAAAAGAAAAGCCCACAGCAAGGGGTTACAAATTGTTTGGCTTAAAAAAGAGAGAGAGAAAGAACCAAGTGATGATGATCAGTTAATAAATGCTCTGGTGTGGGAAATGATTTATCATTTTGTCAGCATGTTACTTGTCTTTCTTACCACCTCTCCATTTGGATAGTGTCTCTGAAGCAATGCATTGCTCATTTGGTGCCTTCTCCAAAGCCCACAGCAGGAGTCTTTCTATTCACTTCAGGCCCACACACAATATATATTTCACGCGGATTCTCTTTATTAATCATTTTGAATTTTTTTTTTTAAATGCTTGGAAAGAGACCTTAAGTACTTATTTGGCCCTCCTCCCCATAACATGTGAGTGCCTCACTGATGGATTTTGTCCTCCCAACACCCCTGAGAGAGAGAAATATTGATCCCATTTTACAGCTAGGGAACCGAGGTACAAGATGATTAAGGGTCTGTCTGCACTCGGAGCTGGGGGTGTAATCCCCAGCTTGAGAAGACATACCGCCCCTAAAAAAACATACCGCCCATGCTAAAAAGAGAGCGTAGTTGCAGCAGTGTGAGTGGCATGCTGCCCCAAAGATGTACCCAGCCAAGCTGCTAGATATGTACTCGGGGTGGCAAGCCCATCCTGCTGGTTGTGCTGCCGCAGCTACGCTGTTTTTAGCATGCTGGCTCGACCAGAGCTAACGCAGGTATGTCTCCTTGAGCTGGAATTTACATCTCCAGCTCCAAGTGGAGACGTACCCTAAGTGACTTGGCCAAGGTCTGAGATGGTCTGTGGTGGAGAAGGGAACAGAACCCTGAGCCCCAGCCCAGTGTCTTGCCCCTCAGCCCAAAGGCACTCCTCCTCCCCTATGTCCTTCCATGTGCAGGGCACGTGTGTATGTTGATGCTGTGTGAGTGTGTCAGGGACATGTGTGTGAGAGGTTGTACTTGTGGGGAAGAATTTGTGGTTGTGTATAGGGAGGATATAGTTGGGCATATATGAGGAAAGGGGAGTGTGTGATAGTGGGCATATCAGAGGGTGTGTTTTGTGATTGTCAGTAAAGGGATAAAAGGACTGGGGCGGGGGACAGTGCAGTGCATGATTGTGTGTGTGAGTACAGGGGCCCTGTGATTGTGTGCAGGGATGTATGTGTCGAGGGCAAAGTTTGTGAAGGGTTTGTGTGTGTGTGTAGGTGGCTGTTGAAGAGAGCAGGGATTGTGGGGGAGTCTGTGCATACATGTGGGAGGGGAGTGTCTGCTAATGGGAAATTCTGTGTCTGTATTAGTGGGTATTGGCAACACTGGGGGCCATTTTGTGTTTGGGCCCAGTGCAGACTCCAAGAGCCTTCACCCTTGCGCCTTCCATGAAGGGCATGGGGCAACTGCTTTCCCTCCTAGTGCCTCTTTGGTGTAAGTAATCCACAAGCAGGTGGCTTAGAGGCCAGGGTGAGGGCCTCTCCCCTTCTGCACATGCTGGTGGAACTGGCCAAATGCAGAGAGGAGTGTACTGTGCAGGGATGGTGCAGCAAGCCAATTCCCTCTGTAGAGCAGGAGATCTGGGATCCACGGTGCCGGCTGGTGCACCTGCTGACAAGAGGCAAACCCCACATGTCAGGGAGATGGACAGTTTTGCCAGGAGGCTGCCCTGATTGCTGTGGAGCCAGGACTGCGGCAGAATTCTCATAACACTGATTAAAGGCCAGTGTTTCTGAGATGAGGACTGTGGGATGGGGTGGGGAAACAGACTACTTAAACCACTTTCCTGATTAGATAGCGACAAACCAGCTGGACTTTGAGATGGTTGAGCAAGACTCTAAGGCATAGAAAACAGCCAGATGGCAGCTCTCCCCAGCGTGAAAGGAGAGATGAAAGGTG